AGGTATTCCAGCTGTAACACATGTGAAAATGGAGACACTTTTCTGCTACAAAGCGACTTCGCAAACGTTCGATGCTTTGGTTACGATAGTGAAAACGAATCTCATGTGATTTACGACGATGTGTACGCTTTCTGCAAGAAGAAGAGACCCCAGCTGAAAAAGAAATGTGACACGCGATTCAACATACTAATGATAGGAATGGATTCAATGTCTTTACCCCGATTTGCTCAGACCATGACAGAAACACTCAACTTCATGAAAAGTAACTTCTGGTTAAGCTACAGGGGATATCACAAGGTATATTGCCTTATCACAAATTAATTATAATTGACAGTTATCAGTAATTCATTTTCCATGTAATTATTTATGAATATAATTTCAGGTTGATGATAACACATTCCCAAACTTAATGGCGATATTGACTGGTCTAAAGTTTCAAGTATTTTCGGACAAGTGTCAGGGACAAATGGACCCCTGCAATGAACTACTACTTTGGAGGTCATTCAGGCGTCTCGGATATGTGACAGCTTACGGGGAAGATTACGTATCTCTGCCGGATACATTCAGCAAGAACTATACATTAACAATTAAACCCACTGACCACTACATGCAAACTTTCTTCAAAATGGCCGAAAAAACCAAAAATTGCGACGGAACACCATACTTATGTTCAGGAAAAGTTACATCTGGACAGCAGTTACTCGATTATGCCTACGACTTCGCTATGACCTACAGAGATGATCCGTTTTTCGGATTGTTTTGGATGAACTCATTTAGTCACAACCCATCAAATCACCCAGATGACGTCGACAAGATCTACGAAAATTTCTTGAACCGTCTCTTCTACACTGGCGTCCTGAAAAACACATTCGTTATATTTTTCAGTGACCACGGAGTACGATTTGGAAAGGATCGTTTGAATGTAGAGGGCTATTACGATGACCGCATGCCCTTACTATTCATCTTGCCTCCCACATTATTTAAATCCAGATATCCCGAGAAATACAAGTCAATGATTGTGAATCAATTTCGACTGGTCACCCCATATGACGTTTACAAAACGATGTTGGAGATATATCGAATATCTGAATGTAGCCCCAAGACATATACAGAAACCATCACCAAAAAATTTAACAATCACGAAAGTCTTTTCAACATAGTTCCCGGAAATCGCACTTGTCAGGACGTACTAATTGATGAGAAGTGGTGCAGTTGTCACAAACTGTATCCCCTCGCAGAGCACGACACTAACGGCCTCAAAGTTGTTCAGTTTGTTATGGATCACATCCAGAACAAGACTGACACAATTGTGACCAAACCATGCACAAGCTGCATGAAGACCAGTCTGGAGAGTGTTGAACGAGTACACTTCTATTATGATGATGAGAAGGTCAACGTATATTACGTAATTTCAATTAAAATGACTCCAGGAGAGATGGTTTATGAGGCAAAGGTATTGCGTCGCGGTCTTGAAATGGAACTTGTGGGTTCTATTAACATTATATCGGGTTACAAGGGCCTCGGATCCTGTACTATCAGTAACAATTATAAAGATCGTATTTTCTGTGTATGTCATAATGATTGTTAGATGTAATCGCCCTTGAAAATACCTCTAACGTAGTTTTTAACTGTATACCTGGTTCTTTTAAATTATTTACATTTTTATATGTTTAGTTAATACTCTCGATTATTTTCACGAAATTTAATTTCGTTTGTCTGTGATATTTTTAGGTATTTTTATTGATATTTACTAATTCTAAGATTTGTATGTTTGAAATGTCCATCTTGCATTTATTTTTATAAGAGTATTTCCTATTTATCAACTTACTTCTAGAATTAGGAATTATATTATCGTTATGAACTTATAAATGAAATGTGAATTAGTAAATGTTTGAATCAAATCTTTCTGATCTAATAATATCGGTGTTTTATTTAGACCCTTTAATTTCTCCTTTCTTAAGAATTTTTGAGTTCTTTTTAATTAGTGTGACCTCACCTCGGAATGAGTAAAAAAACGGTTTTAGAATCGTGTGTGCATATTTATCAGTTACTATTCAGTCGGTCAGTGTGGATGATATGAAACGGACTTTTAGCAAAATTGTATTCGTGAATTACTGTTTGAAGTGCTCTTTATCTGTGGTGGATAATTAAAATGAAAGGTAAGAATTATCTAATTAAATTACTAATATATATGCAGTATTTTGTAATATTTTACAGTATATTATTTATTAGAAATACTATCATTATTTTACCAAATTTCCATGTTTATTTTTTTTTAAATTTGGAGGCTATACGATAAAGACGTTCCCTGAATATCTAATGACTATTGAAAACCAATTATTTTGAAATAATTAGTAATATTTTAGGACTTACAAAATACGAAATGTAACATACAATTTCCTATAATAGATTTCCTTAAAAATTTTGTTCCAAGAACAAAAAAATACTTTTTTCCTTAGTCATAGGTAAGTCCCGCGCTATATTATCAAAATACAAAATGTTTTATTTACAATGAAAGTGTATTATTATATATAGGTAAGTAGAGTATGTTCGAAGCTGTTACATAAGCGAGTATGTAACAATTGATTTGAAAGAAAGTAAGTAAATAAACACGAATTAAAAAAAAAAGTTGCAAGCTGCCTGCTGCTGGAGTTGTGCGTATCTGTTATGGATGTTTACGTCATATTCAACAATATATTTCACTTCATATAAAACCACGAATCATGAGAATTCTTCAGAAACACTGTACAAAAATTCGTTCGTTACTTTTTGTTGTATAATCATACAGACAAACATGTTGTTAGGAATAAGACCAAGTAGTGTTGTAGCGGCTTCAGCGTGCAAGCCTCATACATGAGGTCGTAGGTTCGATCCGGCTGTGCACCAATGGACTTTCCGTCTTTCAGAATCAGTAAATGTAAAGTCAAAAGCATTTACTATTTCTTTTTTCACCTTCATAGGTGGACATTGTGTTACCTATATGAATAAATGATTTTGATTTGATTTGATTCTGCATTTAATTCTCACTCGTACGGTGAACGAAAACATCGTGAGGAAATCATGTCTTAGATCTGAAAAGACTGTGCTGGGCACAGAAGGAATCACCTATAAGAATACAAACAGAATACTGATACACAAATCTGAGGCCTAGACTTTAAAAGGCGCTTCAGATCACTGGTATATCTAAACCTCGACTGTTTAACTGCTTAATTCTTCTGCAGTCCCAATACCCATACATTCCCTAATATTGCAAAGCCATGATTTCATCCTACGACCAACACGCAGTTTACCCTGGAGTTTAACCAAAAACAGACTAAAAACTGACTTTAACTAAAATAGATAACTACACTGCACTATACATTAAATATAAATATAACCATTGCAGTATATTTTACATATGTTGCCCATTCAAGGTTGTAAAAGCGTCAAACAATATAATACGTATTACCACCGACATACAAATGAAGGCCACAGATAATGTTTATTTTTCACGGAAAATACTTCGCAATAGCAATTGTGATCCCGACGTCAGTTTTGAATTTTAAAAAAAACATCGAAATTTCATATCTAGGAATCATCATCATCCGTGCACACCTTCCAATCTCAATCAAATATTCGTTCGCCTGTTAGTTGACAGCAGAACAAGCATTATCACGACATCTCGCCTCGCGCTTATTCACAGACACTACACAAGCATAAAGTGTAAGTGTTGAAGCCGCCAGCTTTAAATAACATACCAATATGCTGGTTTGCCCCCTGTTCTATAAAATTATACGTATAAGTGAGCAGATGTACTAGGCAAACATAACATATGAAACAGTCATTTATGCAGGAAACACAATGTAAAAATGTTATTCTATTCGAACTAGAGCACTTACCTACATATCTATCGCTAGTTGCATCCGGACACGTTAATATAATGGATAACGCAATAAAACGTTTCCACTGTTATGATAATAATGTTATTTTTCATGTCAAATACATACCTATATAAAGTTACACATTGTTTGTGTTTGGAACTCGGGTACAGTCACAGTTGTATTAAAGAATGTTCTTGAATGCTTCCCCGTATCACCTCGACGTCCGTCGTTCCACAGATGAGCGTTTTTTTAGGCAGTTTTTGCCACCACTATGTAGAACCTGCCATTGAAGTATATCCGAACCAATTCCACTTAGGGCCCTTCAAGAACAGAGCGTACCAATTCTTTAAAGGCCGGCAACGTACTTGCAAGCCGTGGCATTGAGTGACCATGGGCGGCGATATCACTTAACATCAAATGACCTCCCTGCCCGTTTGCCCTCTATTTATATAAAAATAAAAATGTTTACCCTGCGAAGATACAGGATATCACGATGATTTCGATCAACAGAGTGAGAGTCTAATAAGAAATCGCAAAGAAACTGAGCAGGGTTTTTCCAAAATGACTCTTTTCTACTTGATAAATGTCGTTCTGCTAGACCGTCATGTCACAAAAGAAGTCTTCGGAGCACGTAAGCGAACGTAGCTCCGTAAAGCTGGCCCGAGCTAGGATTGGACTTATTTTTACTACACTCCAAGGTTTTTGTAGTTTAAACTATCCGTTTTGTAGGTAAAGAAACAAAATTACGGAACGGAAAATTATATGACGAATTTCATTAAAAACAATTGCGAAATTCTTCGCCGGACCGCGTCTTGACTTCATTTTGAAGTCTTTAAGACTTTATGGTAATAAATAATCCTGTGGCATGGACCCCTTTAATACTCAATTGACCTTGGTTTCAGCATTTTTTCATTGCAGCTTTCTCTATATTTCTCTACGCAGATTATTGCCAGTAGGTTTTCTATGTCAGAATTTTCGGTTGTGACATTTTGGGCTTTAAATTGAATGTCACAGACATATGCCAGATTATTCAATCCCAAATCGTCTACTGGGAATTTTTATATTTTTTTTTAACTTCTATTTATATTTTTTAGATAATGTATTTTAATGAAAATTTCGTAACTATTGTTTCAGATTGCGATGAACGTACGAAGAATTTCCTGTGCTTTTGTGATAGCATCATGGATCACATTTTCTCTATACTATTATGATACAATATGTGCAGCTATGAAGCCAGGAATAGAAATCCTAATCAGCGCCAATAAAGATTTAAGTTTTGAAGAGATTTTAACATATAATGGTATGTTCATGAAATATAATTTACTGTTACGCTATTCTGCTTTTAAGGCAGTTATTTCCGCGCACTGAAATGGCCGACAACGCACTCGCGAGCCCTCTGGCATTCAATGTCCCCATAGGCGGTGGTATCACTTAACATCAGGTGAGCCTCCTGCCCGCCTTGCCCGCTTATTCTATAAACAAAATCTAATTTATGTTTTTTCCTTATTCTCCGTATAATTTGCTAATTAACGTAACAAAATTCAGACTTGAGTATTGGTAGATTGTATCGTCGTGGTTACTAGGTTTGATTGGATTTGGATTCAATACTACTTACTACTAATCAATAGATACTCTTTGACATTTATTGATAGCATATTAATACATATTTTAGTTTCAGCCCCTAACTAAATAGCTAAACATTTTGTATGCATATAGACGCGACATATATTGTTAGCCAATAAAATGGAGACAAAAACTACTAACTACTGTATAATTATATTTTCAGGTACAGAAGATTATTTAATAAAAACACCAGGATGTTACATACCAAATTACGGAAAAACTTTGAAATTCCGAGAAGCAAAAATAATTAAACATTTTTGCGGAACGAGAGCTGTGTTCATAGAGAAAATTTCTGAAGAATATTTATTTATCAATATTGATGAAACAATTAACGAATACAGTAAAGGAAACGATTACAATTGTTGCTATCAATTTGTTACACCTGAGGTCGTTGAAGGCATCACGGATCAGAGAAAAATAAGGTTTGTTTACTTTATAATTCATTATGATTTTGCGTAAATTGACTGATATTCGTAGTAGTTGTCCGGGCCCGGTGGGAGACGCCAAGCCTTTTGAGCAAATAAAGCACCTTTTTGGGGAAGTGGAGATTTGACACCCTGCTGCCTAGCTTCTCGGCCACAGCTCTGCGTGACCGCTTACCTGAAAGGCTTCTATGTACGGGTTCTTTAATTAAAAAAAAATACTAAAATATTAATTATTGTTGACGGAATAGTATTTAATATAGACATAAAATCATAGTATTTGCGGCAAGACGTTCTATCTATTACGCCTGAACGCCGTGTCAACCCATAAATATAGGTGATACTAAATTAATATTTAGGCTTAAACCGTCCAAAAGCTTTTATAATTAATTAATCTTATATGTACAATTATAAGAAATATTAAAAAAAATAATATGTGACTTTAATGAGAGAATTTGGAACAATACGATCTAGCCAGACTTAAGACTAATAAGTAATTTAAGTCTAACCTAATTTACTAATAAGGATATTTAACATAAGAAAGTGTCCAGTTTCTATTAAAGGGAAAACACTTTGTTCTTGTGTTCTATTTATTCACTTAAGACTAACGTGCGCTAACACTAATTCAAATGGATTTGTCCTTTTCAATCTTCTCACTCGGCTCGTGGTGTCAAGAAGTTGAATAGCCTCGACATTCACGTGATTCACTGCTGGAGCCTGTTCGTGGTCCAGCAGTTTATTATTGTGGCGACGTCCTCTATAGGTACATTAAGGTCGTTATTGCGAATGTACCAGGGAGCATTGACTATTCCCTTAGCACTTTGTTTTAGAATAAATGAAAATTAAGTGATGCAAAGAACTATATTTAAACATAAATTTACTGTATATCATTCACAGGTATTCATCTTGCGTGCCATTTAAAAATCAAACAAAAATAGAGCTATTAGAAGAAATAATCGTAGTAAAATGTGCTACAAAATTAAAAGTAGTTTATGAAGATGCTTATATATTTGTAAAAAAATTAAAAAGGCAGAAATATGACGATTTAAATCAAGAAACACCATGGAACGTGCTAATTCTAGGAATGGACACGATGTCAAGAGCACGTTTAATCAGTAGTATGCCAAAAACAGCACAGTTTTTACGAAATCATCACTGGCTGGACTTTCGGGCGTATCAGAAAGTAAGAAATTTAATCTATTCGATTTATTAAAATATTATTTTGGTTTAAAACATTTTGATAACGATGGTTTATCGATAAGGTGTTTTAGTACATGAGATATATACTAGGTTATATTGCCTTAATTCTATAATTGGAATTTCTGTCGTTATTTATGGAAAGTTAAAAATGATTTTGAAAATCAATGACGTCTAGTATCATCGTGTGGACTAGGCCAACGTATTATGCACGGTGCAACACTTCCTAAACTACTTCACAAACGTTTTGTTGATAGCGAAAGCTATCAACGCACATTCAACAATAGCTTTTTTAGTACTGTTTAAGCATTTCTTAATGCTTTGTATGAGTAAAAATACACACAAGTAACCAATATTCCAGGTCGGGTACAACACATTTCCCAACGTGATGGCCTTATTGACAGGAAGGAACCTGTCACAAGTACACGCGGAGTGTCACAAGAGCTTGGATCAATGCAATGATATAATGTTGTGGAGTTATTTTAAGAAGGCCGGATATTACACTGCTAGTGGGGAGGATTTCTTGCGTCTCCCAGACACATTTACGAGATATGACGGGTTTAAAAATGCTCCTACCGATCATTACATGCGGCCATTCTTCCTTACGGGCGAAAATTCAATAGGAAACCTTGTTTGTACAAAGAAAAGACCATCCGCCAACCATTTGTTAGATTACGCACTAGATTTTACGAATACGTATAAAAACGACAAATTCTTCGGAATGTTTTGGTTTAATTCCTTTAGTCATAATTTAAATAATGTACCTGAACTCATCGATTCGAATCTAGCAAAGTTTTTTGAGACCTTTCATACAAATGGTATATTAAATAATACTTTTATTTTATTTTTAAGCGACCACGGATTGCGATATGGCGAAATGAGAGTGCCATACGAATCTTATTATGAAGAACGACTTCCAATGCTATATTTATGGGTGCCAAATGATTTTAGGAGAAAATACGAAATGTTTAAAAATTTACTTGTAAATCAGAGCAGACTAGTCACACCATACGATATATATGTTACCTTATTGAGTATTCTAGAAATAGGTAATAACACTGAGGAAAACTCCATCGCATGTCCAAACTGCTTCAGTATTATCAACGAATTATCTCCGAATAGAACGTGTTCAGATGCACACGTCCACGAGAAATGGTGTAGTTGCCATCCCTTGACGAAAGCAATTAACCGCGTCGCTACCAAAAACGCAGTAGACGCAGCCATAGAAGATTTATATGATATTATAAAAAAAATCGAAACAAAAAAGTGTATGCAATGTGCAGATCTCGAATTGAAGAAATTATTACGTGCCCATACTTACAACACTTTAAATGCTACCATTTTTGTCCTCGCGTTTAAAATGACCCCAGGTGATGTGTCGTACGAAGCTAGTGTTGAACAAAGGGGAGATAACTTTACTGTATTGGACACAACACAGACGATATCCGTGTATAATACAAGAGGCAATTGTGTGTTGAATCCCGTACACCGCGCCTATTGTATTTGTGTTAAACTTTGCTAAATAAAAGAGAGAATATTTGACTTATTTTTTATACTCCAATGACTCTTAAATTTAAAATAAACTCCTATATAATTTGTTGTGCGTACTTCAGAGTCGACCAATAAAACTAAGGATACTTAGATCAAGTTAAAAGATTCAAAGAAGCATCATTATTTAAATGGTTGCACTGTAGCTTTAGGTATAAATACATGGTCGCCCTGAGTATGGTTTAAATTTTAATCTATAGAAACAATTCGATCTTAATGTAATGTAGGTACACATTAAAAAAAACACTTTAGTGGATTCACAATTTTATATTTTTTTCTAATAAAACTGTCCCGACGTATGTTCTATGCCATCACGGGTTATCTCAACCTGTAAATAAATGTCAAACTGGGGAAATATGTTTTAAAAATAAAAAAAACATATTTCCTTCGAAATGATACATACAATATTTAATTTTCTAAACTATGACTCATCTCTCGCCCAAAGTCTCAACATCCAGCCATACCATGAGTTTATAGTATACCTTAAAACGCTAGAAAAACACGTCTGCACCAAAATAATATTTTTAGCGTTGTATGCAGCGTTCTCAGCGGTTACGCCATATGGCTTTAATACCCTTCCTATAGGATAAGGTCTAAAGTCTCGTTAAGTATGGTAGTTTATCAAAAGTGTATTTGGCATACGACAGTCATATTTACCTAAGTCGACTACAACTCCCAGTGATTTTAAGCCCATTTTAATATTAAAAAAATTTAATACAAACATAAAAGGCACGGTAACTATGATGTATAATACTGACACTCATGGTAATAAGCTTATACACACTTGTTTCATTTAAATACTGCGACAAACACTATATCACACAAAGCCAATTTTTTAAACATAAAATCATACACATACACTTTCCTATGGGAGCGTTCAAATATTACGTAACGAATTTTGGAGGGAGGGGGGTTCTTTTGTAAAACGTTACGATACGGGGCGGAGAATGAATTACGCGTTATTGTTAATATTATTCTCGACTTTTCAGTACTTTACACCACATAATGGTACTAGGTGGTCACGAAACGTTTTACCATACTTGAGTACAGAAAAACGTTACGGCACGTTACATAAGGGGGGGGGTCAATAATCTCCAACAATTGCATGACGTAATACTTAACGCTCCCTAGTACATTATATACTTTACATAATATATATAGATGTGTTTTTATGTACTGGTAAAGTGAGAGATTTGGATAATTTTACATGAAACTGTAATTATAAACTAACTTTGTAACGATATCAATTATAAATTTAGGTTTCCAGACCTGCCGTTCAGTGGGCCTCATGACCCGGCCTCAGATTACTGTACTGCGAAGGAAAAAAAATCGGAGCTTTAAATTTTTAAGTGGGTTGGTTGTTCGGGATATTTATATTGTTTTCCCAAGGGAGTCGTCGGCACGGAATAAGTTTAAGGAATTAAATATTATAACACTATCTGGTCAATATATTCTTGAAGCCTTGTTGTATGTACAAAAAAATATAAACGATTTTAAAACAAACGGTGACTTTCACCAGTATAATACGCGAAACAGAACTAATCTAACCGTACAACCAACCAGGCTCCAGAAGATAAGCCACTCCTTATATGGAAATTGTATTCGTTTTAACAACTAACTCCCAAGCGAAATTAGACAATTATCACTGAATAAATTCATAACTCTCGTTAAACGTAAATTAATCAATAAAGCTTTTTATAAATTTGACGATTATTTAAATGATTCTAATCCTTGGGATTGATTTGCTTCAGTTAAAACAATTTGTATGACTCGAAACTTAGCGGTTAAAAAGAGTGGCGGAGAGTTTTTTGCCAGTTCTTCTTGCACGCTCTACGCTCTTGACTTGCGAACTGGTAGTAAATGTAAATTTAGAATTAATTAAACATTCTGTTGACGTTCATAAGAGTGTACTTAGTTACCTTTATGAACAAAGTTATTTTGTGTTTGAGTTTTAAATGATTTAGTGAAAGTAGCTTTAGATAATTGACACCATGTGTTGATTGATAGCATATTACATTGAAATTAAATAAAACTAATAACGATTCGTTTTTGTTGTGTTTATATAATCTCTCTAACTCATCAAAACTTTGGTCGCCTTTATAACTTTGCTCCTGCGCGTAAACAATAGTTTTTTTTCCGAATACACAGTCCTTTTCGAAGGCGGGTCAGGTAGCTAGTTGCAGCGAGAATATAAGGCGAATCAAACCACCTGAATAAATATTACATGAAACTATTGTGCGTTCTTACTCACGGGAGAACAATAAAATATAATTCATTAGCAAACCTATACAATACACAATACTTGTTGTGAATGTCAGTATTTTTCTAAATAAATAACATTAATTCTACAAAAATATTTGAACGTTTATTTCAAATTTTGAATTACATCCAATTGTATAATTTTAATATCGTTACCAATTTGTTTCTTTAATACCTGATGTAAGAAAAATATGTCATAATCCTTACGCTAATAACGACTTAACTAAAAGTGGGGATGTGGGTTTACTTGGATATATTACGAACAGAGACAGCTGCGCAAGCGCCAGTGACGCGCCAATGAAGTTGGGTATCTGTAAGAATACATATTTATAATTATTTATTTATTGGTAAGTGAAAAAATAGAACACAAGAACAGAGTGTCTTCCTTTTAATAGAGACTGTAAGTAGTGTCACACTACTATCCATTGATGCACCACCGGGGTTTGAACTTTGAATGCACAAGTAAACAATTAATAATTTTCAATTACAAAATATTTCTATCTAATTCACTGAGTCCATTACTCTCATGACCGTGAGTGTAATTGTAATGGTCATAACCATAAAGATAATAATTAATTACTGCAAGTATTGTTTTTGAAATCGAAAACAATGCTCATAAAATATTCAAATTTTTAATTGGAGCAAAAATTATTTAATAATATTAAATCATTGGTAATTCTGACGTAAACCGTTTTTGCAGTGTCGGCCTTAGAAGGTAAACATTTAATTCGATGTTGTGGATCAATGTTTCTCTTTCTACGAATATGTGCGCGGGGAAAGAAACAGATCTTAGAATACATATAACCGCAAGATTATATCTAAATTAGAATTAAAAATCTGACCTTTTAGCAAATAACGGCGGAAAAACAGCCATCAAAACTTTTTTATAAATGAGTTAAAAAATAAAAAAATAGTAGTATCAAAAAAATTATATGAATTTAATAAATTCCCATTTTATTTGTTTGATTTTATAGGGACATTTGTGGAATACTGTTTTGACGTAATCACAGTCACTGTATTGCTTAATGCTGGGAATGAACTTGCAAAAACAAAATCTGAGCTGTTATCCAGTGATACTGTAATAATCCTTTGTATGTGAATGATCCCTACAGGATATATACCATGTTCTAAGGCAAATTTTTTATTCATAATATTGAGCTCTAGAAATATATTTTTTTGTGCTTTGAGTAACTTTTTTTTACTGCTTTTGGGAAGACATTTTACTTAAAATATATTGTTTTGTGTTTACTTTCATGCTTATGTGATAAAACACAATGTCAAACCTACATTAGGTACTTAACAAAGCAGTTAATCTAACTGCTATAGTATGTAGAACAGATACATTTTGTTCTATAAAAACATTAACTTACATATGTGTTACAAACACATTTAAAACCTAGAATATATAACAGTGTACTTACAGTAAGATACATATCCTCTTCAATTAAACCATAAAAGAACCATAATGACATAACAATAAATGACATAAGAATGATAGGAAACGGTAGACATTCAGTGCTTCTAGTTCTTATAACATAAAGCAGTTTGCTCATTGGCGAAGCAACAGTCAGTAATGTGAGGCTGCATGCTAAGAGTCCTAAAAATGTATCACATTAAAGTATAGGTATTAATAAAAAAATGATATGTTAATAAATAAAATAATTGACTAATCATTGTTAAAAAAAAATTAAATATTACATTAAGAAATATACTTTACTTTAAAATCTCATTCCTTTTAATAAATGATTGGTAAACAACTTGATATTGTTTAAAAATTATGAATAACAAATCATCTGCATGAAAACTTACCAAGACGATTTAGAAGAACTTCACTATCCTCTTCAATATTAACATACCAAATCATAAACATACAGCAACCAACTGTTATATATGCCTGTCTTAACACCACACTTTTCTTAAATGTATATAAATAAAATACTATTGTATATGCAACCATGAAGACTACACCAACCACATTGACTAAAATCATATTCCCATCTTCCTTCGTCAATCCATAAAGGAGCCATATGCTACAGCTGGAGATAATAAATATTAGAGATTAGGATAAGTTTTAATTAATAATGACGTGGGTTTGGCGTGGGATAACTTACGAAAAAAATCCACAGGTAAAAGGCAAGGGTGAAGCTTCACCAGTCGTACGATTAGAAACATATTGCTTGCAAACTAACCTGAAATAAGAGTTCTTATTCAGGATATAATTTTAAACAGAAGATCCCTAATAAACCTTTGAATCTAAACTTACGTGCCCGATAGGAACTGAATAATAGTAGTGACAACGGCAAGACATTCTACCAATTCTTTTATGTCGTATAAATACATTGCTACATTCCATTAGCACTTCGTTTTAAAATTGTGCCTTTTCATTAATAAAATTCATTTCATTTATCTTAAATAAGACTGACGACTTCATGCTCGATTTATAACTTTTGAATGGGCAAAATATTTTTATTCGTTGCGACTGCGTAGACTTGAATAATGACATTGTCACTGTCATTTTGACTCAAGCATGATGATTATTAACAAGTGTTGTGTTGAATTGTCATGTAAATAGTGATAAGTGAATTGAACGCAGATTTTGCGCAAATTATTATTATATATTATTAATAATTGTTATTCATGCAATAGTTCAATACCACGTAAAACCTACAATGATTTATAGTAGTACCAAAAAATGATATGTAAATAGTTGTGATAAAGAGTTTATAAATAGAGTAAATATTTTTGTTATCTCGGTTGTAATGTTGTATATTTACCTTTACGATGAATTTAGCATTAAGCCATCCCTGCAAGACTGTTAATCATTAAAAAATAAGGATTTACTCAATAAGGCCTTTTCAAATCGCATACACAATGAAATCATTCAAGCTTATAGTTCATCAACCCAGCTTTAGTAGTAAGTAGTTAGTTACTTATATATACCTATCGCCAATATTGCATATTATATTATTTCTCTCAAACAAATATTTTATGGGAAAAATACAAGTTTAAAATTTAATTTATCACATCATCTAATCTGAATTATTTTAGCTGAAGAACTGATTATCAATATAAAAGATTATCCTGGAATAAAAGAAAAAGATGTAGTGGAAATATACCATCCTGAAAATGATTATCCAAGATTATTACTTCAAGTGTCTAAAGTTGATGCACCAGGAAGAGGTAGAGGTAAGAATTTAATGCCTTCAAATTTCAAAATTTATTTAAATAACAACTTAATAATTGGATATGTTCTAACTAATAAAATATGCTGTGTGCATAAGTAATTTATTCAGCTAATATGATTATAACAATCATACATTTTATTAATTCCAGACACTATCAGTGTGGAACAGAGTATTGCAATAACATTTCAATTACGGACATTTGCTGATGTTTATGTTAATATTGTCAATGTAGCTGATGTTGCATTGGACTCAGTGGAACTTACTTTCAAGGATCAGTATATGGGTCGTTCAGAAATGTGGAGACTAAAGAATCATTTAGTGAGTATATACAATTAATTCTTGTTATAAACCATTTGTTCCTTACTTCTAAAGTTTGTCTATGTTGATAATTTTTTAGTATAGATAGTACTTTATCATATTACAATCATTTCTATATACAAAAAGAGTAAAATGTTCTATGGATAGACCACATTTATATTAACAAAGGTGCAAGATACATTAAAATATGTATACTCTGTAAAACTCTAAGCAGTATATGACTTATTAGAAGTTTTTGGCACTTACCACATTGTAAGATAGGTAATGTTACATTATTAATACATTTTGGGCAATAAGCTGAAAATTTACAATAATGAACAGTATTTTTTTATGTTACACCATAATCTTTAATTTAAACATTGATAAATGCTTGTGTATCTAGGTAGGCACTTGTGTGTACCTTAATAAAAAGATAGAATACTGTGGAGGTGCCATACGCTGTCAGGTATATGAAATGTGGTCACAAGGCGACAGAGTTGCATGTGGCGTTATAACCGAAGACACAAAGATAGTATTCAGATCGTCAACATCCATGGTTTATCTTTTTATACAAATGTCGTCAGAAATGTGGGACTTTGATATACATGGTGACTTGTACTTTGAAAAAGCTGTAAATGGATTCCTTGCTGATCTATTTGCTAAGTGGAAGGTATGTATGTTATGCACTTATAATATTATCTGGACTGTCTTAATGTAATGTTCCTCCTGCACTACTTGGCTTGAAACAATTGTTTGTTTCTAAAAAGCAATAGTTTTCCTGGAAATCAAACCTATAAATAGATTATGTTACTAATAGTATGCAATGTCTTGTTAATTTTAACATGTTATCATAGTCATGACTACACTCGGTGGGTAGATTCAATCAACAAGCCTACCCTCATTTTTGACAACAATATTTATTTGAATTTAATTTGTTTGTTTACCTGCCATTTTATTTTAGAAAAACGGAAGTAATCATGAAGTCACAATAGTTTTATTCTCTAGAACATTTTATAAAGCCAAATCATTAGAAGAGTTTCCACAACATATGAAAGAATGTCTTCAACAAGACTATCGAGGGAGGTTTTATGAGGACTTTTATAGGTAAAAACACAAATATTCATTTAATGTCCACATATCCTACATGCTTACTACAACTAAAGTATTTATTATATTATATAGTAAAATAAATTTTAAAATAAGTTATGACCCAACTAAACCCAAAGAGGTTATCAATTCAACAAGTAATTCTTTCTCTTCTTTTATTTTTTTATGTTCAAAAAAATTAATTCAATTTTGTGAATCTATAAAAATTCTATAAATTTATTTAAAAATTTGCAATATTGCCGTATTTGATAAATTTAAAAAGGCATTTAAAAAAACAGATTCTCAGCCTAAGACTGCAGATAAAAAATAACAGTCAAGATTACAAACGTGGAAATCATTTAATAATTCAGTTCATATATAAAAAAATATATATTACTTTGTCCAAGTTCTTGAACTTTATTTAAAAAATCGTGTTTTTAGGGTGGCAGTACAAAACGAAAGGTATGAAGATTGGTCTAACGTACTTTTGCAATTAAGGAGGCTGTTCACAGATTACCAAAAGATAGTCCTCCAATATCATGAACGCCCCAATATGGAGATACCAACTGCTATCAACTCTACAGCAGCTCAAGGGAACTTTCTCGAAGTTCTCAATATGAGTTTAAATGGTATGAAATAATAATGAAAGCTTGTAATTTACTGGCTTAACTTATTTGAGTGATCTGTTTTTATTAAACATTTATTTTAAATTTATTTTTTTTAAACTAGAACTATTGGACTCTAGTGAGTTTCGTGAAAAAAAAACAATTCATGTCGATTTTAACAATAAAAACATCAATAATATTTGTGGTTTGCCGCTAAATTAATTTAAAGAAATTTCTACATTAGTTTTATATTGTTATTTACTACTTTATGTTTTGAATGAGACCATTTAGAACGACTAGGATAAGGGATAGACCTACATAACTTTGGTCAATACATAATCTTGATATTCGTTTTGCATTACAGTATTCGAGAAGCATTATCTAGACAGATGTTTTGACAGAACTGGACAGCTAAGCGTCGTCATTACACCCGGCGTAGGCGTCTTTGAAGTTGACAGAGAGTTGACAAATGTCACAAAACAAAGAATCATAGACAACGGAGTGGGAAGCGATTTAGTCTGTGTCGGGGAGCAACCGTTACACGCGGTCCCGCTCCTAAAGTTCCACAACAAAGACAGCAATCTGAATTCCATAGACGATTACTCTATGCCGCATTGGATTAACCTGTCGTTCTATTCGACAAACAAAAAGGTTGCCTACTCGAATTTTATACCGAGAATAAAGTTGCCACCTCGAAAAAGTCAAGAGCCGTTGAAGAAAATGTACGAAGACGAATGCAAAGGGAAGCTGTTGAAGGAGGATGAATATATGCACAATTCGATATTTGATTATGACGCGTACGACGCCCAAGTGTTTCAATTACCGCCAGCTCATAGCACGTGGTAAGTGTTTAGATGTTTCTTGGTTTCCAGGTGGTAACATTCAATATTCAGATTTCTAATCAAAACTCAAATCTTTATTGCATTCCTTTTGTTCATGTTTTACACGTGACACGTTATAATTTATTACAATATGGACCTTGGTTAGGCACAGCAATGTTGTGAGAGGGCATGCTTTATTATAGTTAATTATATTCTTATATATTTTTATTCTTATAGGATACATTATTTATTAGAAAAGGTACTTAACATTATTAATAAACTTAACTTTTGTAAAGAAATTAAAGTCTATCAGTCAGATATTCTGTAACAGTGAACATTTCTTATATAATCTTAATATGTATAAATTACGTGTTTGTTGTTTGTCCGCTATGGACGCCTAAACTACCGAACCGATATCAATCAAATTTGCACACCGTGTGTAGTTTGATCCAACTTAAAAGATAGGATAGCTTACATCTCAATTTATACCCGCCATATTATTTTATTGCAAAATATATGTTTATTATTTGGCAGTCACAATTCTAACAGATGGCGCAGTGTTGAAAGTACCAACGTTTCACATAAGCTACAATTTATGGCATAACCACCAAAAAAGCATGGTGGTCCCCATGACTGGTGTTCTCCTACCGTTTCCCTTGAATAGTTTGCTACTATGTAAAATAACAAAAACCTCAGCCACAGCAACGCTTGGCCAGTCTGCTAGTAATTTCTTTAAAAATTTGGTAAACCTCAAGTTATTTGTTTCATTCTTCAAATTTTCTGGTAATTTGTTATATATTTTATTGAGGAGGTCAATGGTCCTGATTGATGTAATTTAAGTCTGGATGTAGGTGGAATCAGACGGTTTTTGTATCTTCCCTTTTTTATACATATTAGGATATTTACAAATAAATTTACATACTTCCAGTATATATATGGTAGGTATCTTCAAGTATATTCAAGTCTTGAAGTACGAGGGGTGATCCAAAAGTAATGATAATCGGTTATTTGTAGAGCATATAAAAATATGAAAAAAATTGTTATAGCATCCTCATATATCCACTAGTTCAGCATAAAAAAATCATATAAATAGGCCACGATTTCCGGGAGGTACGTTCATTTGAATACGAACAGACGGAAAGTAAACATCAAAATGAAGAAAAGAGTCGAAAGTCGAAGATGTCGTATTGGCAGATCGAAGAGTGACCATAAGGCATGTAGCTGAGGTCACAGGGATCTCATATGGCAGTGTTCAAAGAATCTTTGCAAACGAGCTGCATATGAAAAAGGTCTCTGCGCGTTGGGTGCCGAGAATGTTAACCGACGAGCAAAAGAAAAATCGAGTA